GCAGCCCTTTTGGCTTGCCTACTGAGACTGACCCTGCAGATACTCTTCCTGGCTGAGGAAGGAAAGGGGACTCAATAATAGCAACCAGATGGCATGTCAGCTTGTGAGCGTTAGGATTTCTGCTTAATTCATGGAGAAAGCTGAGACCTGCCACAGCCTTCTGTAATGCTGGAGACCTATCTGGGATTTCTTTGGCTACCAATAAGTCTATTTTGGAGCAAGACTATTTGTAGGAGGTGGGAAATAATTACATCCTCTATGGATGTTGTGCAGTGGCAGTGTAGGGATGCATGAATACACCTAGTACTAGAGCCATTCTTGAACAGCATTTATTTTTGCATTTACATAGCAGCCATTTATTTTTATGTAGTTAATATCTCACCAGTTTCCTGTAAGATAAGGAATTCCAATGGAATTTTTATTGTAAATATATTCAGATATATTCTCTTAGAAATATTTTTCATAATCTCAAATTCAGTGTTATATGAAGATTTTATTGGGTATTTGAAGCAGTAATATTGGGTTTGTATTTGTGGTGGTTGAAAATTATGTTAAAGCAATGATTCTCAACTCAAATGATCAGATATCAAAGAATAGATAACAACAAATGCTTTATTTAAATGCTTTGATTAGATTGTATGGAAAAGAGGACTGTGACATTTACATTCAACACATCAATGCTTCAGTTTTTTTCATGTGATCCCAAAGGAGAAGATTAGGGTCGAAGACAGTAGATGATATTTTCTCATTAGGTGGAAACTGATCTTACAATTTGAACTACTGGAACAGATTGTTACTTTGGCAGTTCATGAAACTCCTCAATAAATAGAAATTAGATTCTTTCTCTTGTGTTGTGTGGGTAATCGCTTTTTTTAAACCTATAGAATTTTCTTCTTCCTTTGAGGATAATGTAATTGACTTCCAATTCAGATTTATAAAGTTGTTTGCTGTTTTTAAAGCTTCCCTCTCCCCTACCCCGGTGGATTGAGTGACACATTAGGAAGATAAGAAAGAAATCCAATTTTAAGTAAGTGGAGAAAAATCGTATTTGCATAGAAAATAATAAAACATATTTTTCATTATCTTTGCTCTGCAGCTGTAGTGCTCTTTGTTGCACAAAAGGCACGTATTTGGTGAATGTGATGTTCCTGAAGAGAAAATGTATTTGTGCTGAAATAAAAGTGATATTTCATGCTATATAAGTAGGAAAAATCTGTAAATGGTATTTTAAGTTCTACGTTCACCTTGCATTTCTAAGGCAATAGCCTTACAAAAGTGATGTTTAAATAGTGTTTCATTAGCGACAGTATTATTCTATTGCTTTTTTCAACTATATATTCCATTTTTTCACTGATTTATACATACTGTGATAACTCCATGTCCTGGGTTCAGCAGTAGCAGTCACACTCCATGAATGTTTTACTCTTTCACTGAAGAGGTAGTGCTGACCACACAGTCTTGGCACATTTAGGCATGCATGGGCAAGGTGAAAGATAAGGGAACATAGATAAGGGAACACATCCAGATTAAAAGCTATCCTGGCTAGAAATAAAGCAAGTTTCAACTTGGATGTATTCTCTTATCTGGTTCATGGTGAAGCCATGTGAAAACTGTTGCCAGTAACGATGATAGCTGAAAAGAGGAAGCAGTGAGGGGGAGGTCAGGGATGCCTCTTCTGTGGCAGTGTTAACAGGTGTTACTTTAGCGCATGTGTGCATCATGCACAGGGTATTGATGTGTTCTTGAAAAAACCTGATGCTTTCAAGCTCCTGAGTTCAGGTGAGGCTCCTTAGAACACATCCTTCTTCCATGCCAGAACAAGACCTGGGTACATGGTGCATGTCTTCTCTATCTTACCTTTCCTGTTGTTCAGCATAGACCAGCAATGAAGTACTGAGGCTGTAAGTTACCTGCAACACTCTTTCAATCACTGATTTGGTTAACAGTATTGTTAAGAATTCGCACTGTTAACTTTTTATACAAAGTTTCTGATTGTCCTCACTCTGATACGTTCACTGTCATCTGAATGTATTTTGTATTTGCTATGTGAGTTCTTCCGGTTCCCTTTCTCCAAACACGGAGTATCTCGGGTATCAATTGGCGTGAGGTTATTTGTGTGTCTTATTCACTATTTGCCACTAGGGGACACTGCTGACCACTACATGCAAGGATGGTCGCTGTAATAAGAGTCTTCAATGTATTTTCATTTTCTGACTCGAGGCACCGTTTTCGAAGTTCTAATGCCTTTCCTGATCAAAGAGTACTTAATCAGTTGTTTATTTTTAAGTACTTCTGGGTTCAAATTGTTTCCTCCCGTGATTCACCGAATCAGAATCTTGCTGAGGTTACAATTCTGTTACAGTGTCTATTATTAATGCTTAAGAATAATATACTGAATTGTTCATACTCTCCTTAGACCTCATTCAAATACTGTTAATCTTTTCTGGGTAGAAGGTATAATGAATGATGGGAATTGAGTGTCTCCATTATTTAATGAACGGAAGGTAATTTGGATGCAAGTGGACGTCATTCTTCTGTAGAATACTAGGAGAAGTTGACAACTGGTTAGGCACAGATTGGATGCGTGGTTGTTGTGTGTAAGAAGTAATAGTAATAAGTTGCCTCAAAATAGTAATACATATTGGAAAAATGTAAGTGCCCCTTTCTTCCCCTCCACCCTGCCCACTCCACCACCCCCAAGATAATATGCTTTACAGTTACGAACTTGATGTAAATTAGTTTAGTTAGAAACTTTAGCAGCAGCTCTCTTCTAAATGCCTGTCCAGTCTGTCTTTGACTCAGTGTCAACCTTTGCATCCAGGACATCCTTACTCAGGAGAGCATTCTTGCCAAGGAGATCTGATACTTTTTGCAGAAGTTACTCCTCTCGTTTATTAAGAACATGGCTTCTTTCAAGCTGCCTTTGATAAATCTCAGCTGTTACATTCAGGGAGTCTGTACACTCTTCATATCTATCCAATATCACTTATTTTATAGACATTTATAATTCATTTCCAGGTGCTCTTTTCTTTTGCAAATGGAAAAGTCTTAGCCGGCTTGGTGGTTCCAATTACAGAAGCTATTCAATTCCTTTGAACATCCCTATTACTTTCTTGTAAACAGTCTTCAATTCTATCTTCTTTTTGATTAGGGCATGCAATTTTTTAAGTATGTTCAAAACAGTGATTTATATAGGGAAGTAACAGTGTTCCCTATTCCTAATGTGGTTTGGGTTTTTTACCATTGCTGACTGTTGATGTGATATTTTCATGAGTTTTCCCCAAATGAGACTTTGCTACTGTCTAGTGATGGTTAGTTTAGCGACTCTCTTCACTCAGTCTAAAACATAGCTTTTATCTATGTTTCATGTGCAGTTTTGTAGCTCAGTTACCTGATGAGGCAAGAACTTGTTCTGTGGCTCTTCAAGGGCTGATCTTATTTGTTCTGCTCTCCGGTAATTGCCTTTATCAGCAAACTTTCTTCACTGCTCATCCTCTTTCAGGATCATTAATGTCTGTGTTGAATATCTTGGGGAGTAGAAATCCTTGTGCCACTCCACAGGTGACCTCCCTCCCTTTAAGAAGTGGCCATTTACTCTGTCTACTATTCATAACTATATTTTCTAGTCAGTTATTTAGCCATGTAAAGGCCTTCATTATTTCGCTACAAAAATCAGGTTTCCTGATTTTAGGAAGGGAATTCTTTTAAAATCCAGTGAAAACTCCCTGTCGGTGTATCAATTGGATCAGCCCATCTTGATTTATTCAAAGAATTTTAAGTAGGTTTGGAGGACAGGGTGCTGTGTTTAATTTTTACTTTTATTTTTTAAGCATGTTATCACTGAGCTCCCAAAGGAGGTTATGCTCACACTGACTTCAACAGCTTAGGTATTCAGGGACGTCCTGCAGGTTGAGGGATGTTAGGCGGGCTGAGAGGGACATACCATTATGTTTTAGTATCGGCATCAAATTACAGAAATAATTTAGCTGTCGTACAACATCTGTATGCAATCACTGATGACAAGAATTTCAGTTCCATAATTGATACTGTTTAAAGTGGAACACATTGATTGGTGTCCTAAAAGTTCAGTGTTCCTTCTCTAGAAATAAAGCCAGTTAATGATACACAGATACTGACAAGAGACAAAGAGTGCACAAGCCGTCTTTTTTGTTTGTTTGTTTCAGCAATGTTCTGAGTATATTCAGGTTTTACATAAGATTTTCAAGTTCTTCCAACATCTAGAGCATAAACTAATGATGAAGAGATCACATTTTAGTTATTACAAAGGAAATGAACACTAAATATTTCTGCTGTTCATGATTTTAATAGTCCTATAAGCTAAAAATTGTGCATTTTGCTGACTTTTTCTTATAATAGAAAAAAATGTTTAAATTTCAAAATAATAGCTGTGGATTTGCTATCTTTGTAGAATGATTTATGCAATTTTACAAAATTTGAATATTCAGATCTTTTTCTAAAGCACTTTACAGTCTGTACTCTTGAAAAGCAGCGCAGAACAATATTGGCAAAGGACATTTTTTTCTTCCTAAAATTTAACAGAGTATAATCTATATTGTATAATTTCCTGTAACGTTATTTGCTTTGATATAAGATATACTGTATTTGAATTAACCACAGTAAGTTTTTCCCCAGAGGTAACATGCAGTGTATATTGTGTAGTACATTTTTGACCTGTAGAGCATCTAAAAATATGATGCATTATGCTTTTCTTTTAATCTGTGACTCATACAATATGTGTTCAGAGAAGAATGCAGAAATGGATCATTATTATTTGAGCTAATCCAATGCTTTCAATTTGACTGACATTCCCTGTTGTCAATTTATTTCACTGAGCATCTGTTAAACATAAAAGTGTATACTGTATTTTATCAGAATGAGCAATCCTGACATCTGTAATTAAGCCTCCCTGTTTCTGCTTTAGTGGCTCTAACATCCCTGTCTAACAGATTGTACAAATTGCACATTTGTTTACAAAACAGGTCCAGATTGTTCTTTGAACGTCCCTTCTACAGAGTCTTACTGGATTCTACCAAATGTAAAACCATTCAGCCCTTCTGTGGGCCGGGCTTCCCATAAGGCAGTCCTGCACGGGAAATTTATGTGGGTGATTGGTGGCTACACTTTTAACTACAGTTCATTCCAAATGGTGTTGAAGTAAGTGATTTATCCTTTGTCGTATCGTTTTCTGATGCAGCTTAGGGAAAACAGATCTTACCTGGGAGGTAGTCTCTACACTGCAATTTTATGGAAAGGTTTAAGTTTTTTAGGTTATTAATGGTCTTATTTTCTGCTTGTCATTTTCTTATGATTATCAGAGGCAAAAATACAGGTACCATCAATCTGTATGCGTAATTTCCTCAGTTTTGTGAAAACACTTGCTATACTTTGCTGCAAAACATAAAAATGTGATTTAAACAGAGAAAGAAATCCATGTGCTGATATTTTCACACAGTACATATAGAATATTAACTACATTATTGGAGATAATTTATTAATATAGGAGACTTGCATTTAATGCATGAATACCTTGGGTAGCAGAAATCTACCCTGTCAGTAGAGGTAACCCTCTACTGGCCATTAGTGCCATGCCAGCATGGGTAAGCAGGTCGTCCATGTTTCACTTGCTAATGACAGCTTGGATGTATGTGCACTTGATCGTGTATTGAAAACAATGTTGAAGCAGCTGTAAATATTATCTAGTTGATTTGCGTGGTAACTTGTATATATAGAGAGGTCCTAAATGTGGCAAATGCAAACGATGACATGTTTATTTCTGCTTTTTTAGTCTACGTTATATTTTCTTTCACACATTTAGAATTATCCAAAACAAATCCCATCATCACCTTTGTTTTTCTTTTCTACCTCTATTAATTATTTTTTACCTCTCTTTCATCTTGTGATGTGTTAATGCATTAATGGATTAATAGTTAATTAAAAAAATTAATGGAAATTAAAATCAACCATGTAGCAGAGAGAGTGTTCAACAATAACTCTTCAAAGTAGTGCAGAAGATTGTGACATAAGCAGTTGAGTGGGGTGGGTTTTTTATGTGGCTGATAATGGTGATCTTGGCAACCGAGATTCGTAACTACCCGGTTAAGTTTGGTGATTTTTTTTTTTACATCCCTGTAATTGATGGGAAAGAGCTGCTCTTGTTTTGCTTGATGAACATTTGTACACTATTGTAACATTTCAGAATGATCATGTTACTGTTGCAGACGAATAGCCATGTCAGATAATCAGTGACTGGTCAAGCTTGCCAAACAGATGTCAGTTTGAACATATAAACCTCTCTATTTCTCTGCAGGTAGAAAATGTTTACTTTTCTGTTTCTCTTTTAGCTACAATCTGGAAAGCAGTATATGGAATGTCGTACCTGTATCCAAAGGGCCACTTCAGAGATATGGACACACTCTTGCTTTATATCAGGTTTGGACTCTTCAACATCCTATTTAATGAATTCCTTTGTGTGTCCTGTTAGTGATCTTAAAATGATTCATCATGAACATAGGTTATTTTCGAAGATAATTTAATTTCTAGTCCCTAAACATTTTGTATTAGTGTCTTATTCAGTACTTAGATGTATTGCGCAATTTTTGGAAAGAAGATTGTGCGATAGATCTAAGTCATTTACTAGCTGACCATAAATCCTCAGAGCTAAACCTCCCGATAAAAGGGGACTAATATAATTGGAGTTGCACTAAGGGAAGGAGAGCTGGGAACCGTGGCAGTGGTGTTGCTGACTGGGCACCATCCCCAGGGACTAAGCCCAGCAGGCAGAGCCAGGGGTCTGTAGCAGGCTCTTTTGACAGCCCCAGACATGGCAAGAAAAGACCCAGGGCTGGGGACTATTCAGGGAGATCAGGGGCACAAGGAGACATAGCCTGAGGCAAGACTGGAGAGAAGGCTACAACACACACCTGAGGGCTCCACCCAGGAGACAAGATACTTACGGCATGGGTCCGGCTCAATCCAGGAGGAAGGGTCACAAGCAGTCAGGGACTGAGGGTCCTCTTGGTGAGGCTGGCCAGGGTCACTAAGGCCTGTTAATGCCTTAAGGGCCATGTCAGTAGGAAATAAATTCTTATTCATGTGCTTTAATTATAGAACAGAGCAATATTAAAATACAAGTTGTTGTTCTATAGTATCATCTTATTGTAAGTTCAAATAAATAAGAACTACTGATGGTTTTGCTTCTACTGATACCATGTAGTCTTCACATGGCTTTCTTGAAAGCACTTTTAGAGGTTTATTTCACTATATTTAAAAAAAAAAAAAAGATTCGTAGTGATAGAATATAAAGAAAAAAAAAGGTCTTTACTTAAAAAAGAAAACTGCTTTTGTCTATTGGTTACTTTTTGGCTAGTATTAGTTATGTAAGTGCAAAAGTGAATGCAGTGCTTAATTTAGCCTTGTGCAGATGATGTCAGGCTTGTTAAGTGACAGAGAAGTACAGAATTTGTATCACATCTTTAGTTGTTTTTGTAAGATACACCCATCAGGGAAGAACATAAAAGATTGTCTCAAGTCTGACCACAGTGTTCATCTGGCCTGGTAACATGTTTTGAACAACGGGTAACAGCAAACACCAAGAGAAGAATATAAGAAAAAATGACTAGAACATTTTGAAGCTTCCTCGGAATAGTGTAGTCTGCATCTGAGATTTCCTCATATAGGATATTATCTTTGTGGAAAGATTATGAATCCATGTGTGTGGTGTTTTTTATTTTTTTGAACCATCTATTTATTTTAGCATTGATGCTACCCTGTGCTGAAAGAGTTCTGGTGTGTTTTGTGAAGGAATGCCCCTTTTTGGGAGAGTGGTACTAGCTGTTTTAATTTTGATAATTACTATTTCTTATTTTCCATTTACTTCCTCAGTACCACCCACAAGTTTCTGTGAGTCCATCATATCCTTTCTGTATCATTTCTTTTTCATGCTGAAAATTCCTTGTGTTTTCAATAATCCTCTAGAAGGAAGCTATTTCATACCTTATATAACATTGCATTATCACCTCTACCTCTTCTGGTTCTGTAATATCCCTTCTGAAATACAGATAATCAGTCTTTAGTATACTGGTTCCTCAGAGGTCTAATTTTTTTCTGTTAATTCTTAACTGTATTTTAGCTTTTTTGAAAATCTGTTGTTGGCTTTGAACAGGTATTTTCACAGAACTGTAGGTTATAGCATCAAGACCTCATTCTAGTCAACTAAAACCCCACCGTTTTATGGTCAGAGTTAAAATTTGAGTGATGCGTGTGCGTAAGAACATATACTTATCTATGTGAACACTTATTTACACTTTTATTCATCTTCATATTGCACACTCAGTGTTATGAGATTGTTCTGCAATTAATTCTTTGCTTTTGACCACTGTCTCAGCTATTTTGAGTAGCATAGTATTGTCAAAACCCACTAATTTTTCCATTAATTCCTGTGCCAGATGGCTTGTCAGTATGTTGAACAAACAAATCCCAGATGTAGATCTCTGTGGGACACCATTAATGACCTCTATGCATTTAAGTGACTGTTTTCCCCCCAAACCTTTATTTATTGAATTATTTAGCCTTGTGTTATCTGCCTTGCGCTTTTCCCAGAGTCTCTTAACATTTTTCATGCCTTAAAGAAGCTATCAAGCATCTTTTGGGAATTCCAGGTAACTTTCTCAACCAGACCTTTGATTCCTTCAAGAAAATCCAATGATTTGCAAGATAAAACTTCCCATTTCAAAAGCTGTTAGACTTTTCCTCTGTGGGCCTGTCTTATCCATTTGTTCCCTGAATTTGGTCCTTTATGCCTGTTGCTTTGCACTCTTCTGGTACTAACACATTTTTAAGGAGGGATTTGCAAACTACAGAGAAGGATCATCTTTTTTTGTTCTTGAATTCCTTCAGAACTGATCCTGGTGACTTGGTGCTGATTGTTCTGTCAGCTTTGTGTTTTTTACTATAAGCTCCTGTTATGAATTTCTGCTGTGGAAATATCTCTGAAGTCTACCATGAAGAAGTCTCACTGGGAAATTAACTTCATTTTATTGCTACCAACCGATCTTCCCAGAATACTCCTTGTGTCTGTTTGTGTCTCTTGGCACCACAAAGTATCTAGTTAGCTGTGTTTCTAATTCCTTTGAAGAATTATGTATTAGTACTTATTATATATAGTATTTCTTTATATATAAATTCTGCAGGCAGCTCATTAAACTGTTTCATGTCTTGACTTTTTATTTCTCAGTGGTTTAATCTGCTGGAAATTTTTAACCTTTATCTTGAAGTATACTTTTTCTTCTAGCAGTCTTCATTATCCTCCTGCTAAGTCAAGCTCTTTATTTATTTATTTACTTATTTGTAGTGGAAAGGATTTGTAAACAGAAAACATTCATATGATCTGAGCAGATGTCCTTAAATTGTCTTAATATTGTCAATAAGGATTTTATCCTTTTTACTTGTTCCTTTTGGTTTCTTTTTATGGTCAGTCTTCCTTTCATATAGTCCTCCTTTATTATTATTCTTCCAGAGATGTTGAAACTGTCTATGGCATGGTTAATATAATAGAGGCGTTTTTCAGCAGTAATATGAACAAGATTCTGTGCATGCCCCAGCATCAATTCAGAAATTGCTTTTCAGGTTGTCAGTTCCCTGACTCATTACTAATGTATTATCTGTTCTTTGAAAGGTCAGATCTTTCTGACCGCTATCTTTGCTTGTTATGGTACTTGTAGAATGTGGACCTTTTAGTTGAGAAACGTTCAAGTAATGTATCATTTATCAGTCCAGAATATAGGCTTAAAATATCATTTAACCTTTTTATTTGACACTGCTAATATTTTCTTGAGATATTCCAGACTAAACTGTAACCATTTTGAGCTACTTTTACCAATTTTGACAGTAACCATTTTGAGCTACTTTAAATACAATAGACCTGTCTTAAACCAGAGATCCTTTTGGATATCGGTGAGGAAATGGCACTCTCGTTAATATTAATGAATGCTGCAAGCAAGTGTGTAATGAAGAAGCTGTTGCTGTTAAAAACACATATTAATTAATAATTAGATTTCACTAATAATGGACACAGAACTATTCATGTCATGTAATTCATATGTTGCTTGTACTTACGTTAAATATCAGAATTACATGGGCCAAAATGTCATGTAAACATTTTTGAGAGAAAAAGGTACATCCTTTTGCAGTTAAGTTATGTTAAGATAAACTTTTGATATTTTTCCTTTCAGGTGTTCAGTCTCTAGAAACAAACAGAAAAATAATATAGTGTGAAGAGTAGTAGAACATAACACCTAGAGATGGCAGCTTTGAGCTGTGTATTCAGCTGTGTACTAGTCATTGTGTAACGTTTCCTTTATAGTTGGGAGAAAAAAATAGCCACAGAGAGGAAATTAGATTAAGTTTTTGACTTGAGCTCCTGAGATTTCAAAGCCTAGTGCTAGACTGGATTGAGAGCGCAGAGCTGGTATTGCCTGATTGTGGTGCAAGGTAAATTGAAACTATAAGATTGACTCTGTAGAGAATGAAATAAGTTACTGTGCCCATTTCCCTCAGAAAGCTTCTTTAGTTAAAATAAAAGTACTGTACCACTTTATTCTGAAGAAAAAATATCAGATGACTCCCACTGATGTATGGTTATGACAAGTGACTAAGGCTTTTTATGCATTTATAGGTGAGAAGAGTATAAAAGTGTTCTTGCTTTTAGATCAACTGAACTATTGAATCACATTACCTTCAGTCTTCAGAATGGCTATTGGAAAGATGCTGCCTATCTCTGATATCAGTTGGTTCTCATCAAAGATTGTGTATAGTTCCTGGCATCTTGATACTCAAAAATGTCCACATACTTTAAAATAATTCGTATAAGAAATAGGATTATAAAGAGACTGGAGGAAATGGCTTGTGAGGTTTTTAAAGTAAGTACATACAGCTTTGCTAAATAGTGACTAGGTTGGGAGTTTGACAGTAAATTGGAAAATACTAGATTCCTGGAATAAATTAGAAAGAAAGTTGCATACAAGGTGTATATGGTTGCTGCTGGAAGCTTACTTGGTAGTGAACTTGTGGTTGCATCACAGCATTCAACCTCATAATTAAACTACTGCTAGTGTTCCCAAGAGTTTGGAAGGGTGGCGGGCCATTGAGATTTGTTTCCTTTGAGTCTGGCAATAGGAATGAAGCAAACATGCAGGCCGATGTACTAGTAAATGTAAAGATGTTTTCCAGTAATATGGGCTGTTTTATACATAGTCAAACTTAATTTGGCTCATTTGAGTTTAATGAATGTTATTTCCAATTTTAAAGCTTTATTAAAAAGAATGATTGTTTTGATTTCTTTTCCAAATTAATTGGTATTAGTGTTGAGTTTGTATATCTCTTCTGGTATTTTTTCATCAGTCTGATCTAATGGGAGCTTAATTGGATCATGTGGAGATGTTGATTATTCAGTTTTTTTTCTTTTGTGATAGCACATAGTATGTCTTGGGAAAAAGGAAGAAGAGGTATTGCAGAGTCCTAAACCAGGTGGCAAATGCTGAATGCAGAAAACAGGCTTGTATTGAATGAGTTATTGCTAGGTGACTTGAGTCTTCTTTATCATTTGGGAAAAAATAATCCAGAAATTTCTTAGAGATTTGACTGTTAGAAATCTCAGGTAAGCAGAGAACAAAAGTTCTCAAGAATTTGAGTCCCGTTAGGTTACATAAAATTAATTTATATATTAATGCATGGGTACAGTCTAGGGGAGACAAAAAGATGGATGATTCTGTTTCAAGAAAATTGAGAATTGACTGTTCTTCATGTACTTTAGGAGTAGTATTTCTTTGGCCAAGTTTTCAGGAACAGATTAGATTTAAATAAGAACTAAAGCAGTAAACTTGTTTCTGAGGAAGAAACTTTTCTACTGTGTAGCCATAACTCAGTTGAGAAATACAAAATCAAAATTGCGTAGTTATTTTAACATGATTAATTTACTTCCAATTCATTAGAAATGGATTATAAATTACCCTCTTACTGCATTTTCATTTTTTTTTTTTTGGTAACTACCAGATAAGATTCTTTTGGAATGCAGGCAAGATTTGCATAACAGTGTGACATTGCTGGATACAGTCAGAGCAGCTGATAAATGTTGTTCTTTTAGGAAATAAGAAAAATTGCAAAGTCTAAAGAATAAAATTATGATAAGTTTTAGAAAAATCTTGAATTACTGTGCTTATATGAAATATTAAATCAGTATTAACACTGAGATATGATGTAGGGAACAGAGCATGTCCAAGGTCAAAGGAACTATATAAGTGATAAAGGTAGTGTAAGCTTATAATGGGATTTGTATTTTTCTTTTAAAATCTTTAGGCTGCTTAAGACCATTTGCGCTTGTACCCTTCCTACAGTCTCTTCCTGATTAGGCTTTCCAGATAAATGTCCACCTTTATGTGCCTAGGATGCTGAGTTTTGTCCTATATAACTATGCATGTGCCGTTTTGTTTTCATTCTGTATTTATTCTACCGACTTTGGTCGATGAGCCTTTCTTTCTCTGTGTTCAGCTGATCATCACTAACTTTTAAAGTGTTTTTCAGCAGCACTAGGAGCTGCTTCATCTCCGAAATAGCCCTTAGCGAAGCTTAGTTAAATCTGGTTTTGCGGTTGATAAAACAGTTGTCATGACCTTCTCGTCTTATTCTGTGAATAGTTTTGTGTACAGGATCTGCTGTGTCATTTATAAAGATTGCTTCTCACAGGAGTGTTCTTTTATCTGAACTTTGAATCATTTAAAACAGAACTGTGAGGAGGATTTTTTTTTTACTGTCAGCTGTCTTAAGTAATCTTTCCAAAGTTCATGCAGCTCTTTAGGTCGCCTTTTTTTTCTGTGTAGTGTCTTCCTCAATGTCAAATCTTTTTTCTTCGGATACTGTTTTACAGCACCTGCAGCTCCCTAATTAGCTCCTCTTTCTGCTCTAGTCTGTCTGCATTTCAAAATAAAGAAATAAATATTTAATCTGCTGTGTTAGAGATGCCGATTCGCCTTTTGAGATCTTTGTGGCAGTGTAATGAATGAGCCATATAGGCTCCTTTTAAGGAGGATGCTTGTTCAAACCATGCCTTTGAATCAGTGCACAGCCTCCTTACAACTTTTGTGGGTCTTCACTATGCTGTTTAAAATGTTGTTTTGCCTCATGGGAAAAACATGGGCTCACATACATGTAGCATAATCCTATCATAAGCTTGTACTGAAGGATGTGAACATCTTTTGGTCATACACCGCCATCCAAACTTATCTGTAACACAGAGTATCAGTGCACAGAAGTGGTATAAATTCCGAATCACGAAATGTTTACCTGCCTCAAATGAAAATAAAACAGTTGAAACTTGTAGAAATTTCAAGTGTTCTCTTGAAAACAGGTCAGACAGTTTGGTCAGATACTTACTGACTAATCTCTGAGTAATGAGGGAGTTTTTCATTCGGTCCTGGACTCGTAGTTTACCATCAAGCACAGGTATTATTTATAGCATTATAACCCTCACAAGCCTTTGTTTTGCTGGACTGAATAGGTTGTCATTCTACTAATATTTGACATGCCTGCTTTTGAGTTCATCTTCCTTGATGTGTATGATAATAGCGTGCAGTTTACATTTCTATTTAGATCCCATCAGCTCCTTGTACAAGTCTGAAATTTCTGCATGGTTGATCCAGACTGCTTACGTTATGTCTTACTATATTTTCTAGTCTCATTTTCTGAGGCTCAGTATTCCATGCCAAGCAAAACTTTGCCAAATGTTCTAAGCTTGAACCTTCCTTTTTTATTTAGCCAGGTATGACTGAATTTGGGGTAGAATATTGCACTGTTGTATGCAGAAGACAACTGCAAACAGTACAAACACCATGCAGATGGGATGCAGCGTGCATGTGGTTCTAGTATGTCCTAGCAAAAACTAACTCTTCTCAGAACCAGAGGTACTTTTTTTCCATCCAGGACAAACTGTCCTTGAGGCAGTCTGTGAAACTAACAAGCTGGAATTTGTTTTGTGACTTTGGATGCCTTGGTTTGCAACTCTAGATGAAGTCTGAGATTTAGTAGGATTTGCTTTCAGTCAATATTTAAGCAAATCCTTCATGACTTATCAAACCAGATGGCATTGCTGTTTGAGGTATGTGGTTCATGAAGACTAGAAAATCTGTTTTGCATCCCTTTAAAAGAACTCAAAGTACTTCCCTATGGGATTTGATTTTAGCGAATGTGCCCAAGAGGATGCTATATAAACATTGTCCCTTTTCTTTGGGCTCTGATGACTGTGAATTTTCTCAGGACTTAAGTTACTTTGCTATTAGGAGAGAATGTGCTCTCTTCTGCATGTGCTGAATGAAATCCCCATAGACTGTGTGTGTGGAAAATCACATTTTAGTTCTGTGAACTGTTCCTTAAGAAAACAATATAATATCCTTTCTGTTTAGTGTGGGTTTTTTTCCCCCTTTTTTAATAGAATGCTGCAGGATGGATTAGAAGAGCCATGTAATTAAAGTTTTTCTGCTTGAAGTAATCTGGTTGAGATTCATTTTGGTGTCATTTTCATGGCTAGGTTTATTTTTCAGAGAAATAGTCTCCTTATCGTCATCGTTGGTTTAGTTTAAATATCGTTGCCTGGGATTACTGTCTGATATTGAGCTAGTCAGTGTAAGATTAAGCGTTAAGATCAAAATCGGATAGTTCAGTTATGAAATACTGCGCAGCACAGAAATATGTAGTTCAGATGTTATCTTTCTGTAATCCATTATTTGCTTTCTCTTCTCTCCCTTCCAATTTTTACAGGAAGAAATCTACATGTATGGAGGCAAAATTGAAGCAAATAATGGCAATGTTACTGATGAGCTGTGGATTTTCAACATACACAGTCAAACGTGGAGTGCCAGAACTCCTGCAGTACTTGTACATGGCCAACAGTATGCAGTGGAAGGTCATTCAGCACACATAGTAGAGCTCGACAGCAGAGATGTGGTTATGATTATAATTTTTGGATATTCTGCCATATATGGTTACACAAGCATTGTGCAAGAATACTACATCAGTAAGTGACTTTCAAATAATTTTATCACATACTGATTGAAAAATTCCTGATACTTTTTTCCTATGTGAAGAACATTCCTGTTCGGCATTAAATTTGTATTTTGCAGATTCTAACCTCATTTTTTTTTCTTTCTAATTATGTAGGTTAGGTTTCATGTCAAGCAGTAGCATTTCATACATGTTTGAGTATACTAGCTTTGGCTCTGTATTGCTGTGTACATGGCTGATATATTACGTGTGCACGGCCATGATGCTCTTTAACAGGCAAAGGTTGAAACCACAAATTCAACGTTGTTATTGTTGTGATACAACTTACCTTTTTTTACCACAGACTTACAGCTTTTACTACAGAGCAGATAGATTAAAAAAAAGTAAGTAGGGCAAAAATCAGAAATGTCAGAGCAGAATATGATGTACAGTGCTTACTTAAATTACTTGATTATTTTGAAGGTTAACATTGCTGTAAAATTTTCATTCTGGCTTTTTGAAATGTCATAACTTCATTGTATGTCGGGTTCTCTCTAAAGTCTGTATATGTTGCTTCTAGAGGAAATAAGAGAAAATGAACACTAATTTTTGTTGATTACCTCCCAGAGCTGTCTGGGATTCCCCTTACAAACTGTAATTTTTTTCCTATTTTTCAATACTAGAATTAAACAAAGATATTTTTTTCTAACACATAATACATCTAAGATATTATTTTCATAGAATAAACATGAAAATTGATACCTTCTGATACTTTTTAAGATATGTTTATATGCCTCCTAATTAAAATTGTAACATTTTCTTACTTTTTATGATTCCTTGTTTTCTGTAGAATGGATCTGAGTCACTCGGTTATTTAGGCCATCCACAATATGCGTAATATGAAATATCAAAGAAGTATATGTCAAAGCATAAGAAATTTTTAACTGTTTCATTTAACTTTTTTGGCCTGTATGTATGTGTATATAAACACTGTTTAAGCAGATTTGTAGGCAGGGGAAATCCCTTCAAAACTCAGTGGGTTCTTACGCTTCCTGGCATTAGCTCTGATGGTACTGTTGAAATTTTAGAACTATGTTGAAAAAAGGATAAAAGAGAATGGGAATAAGAGCAGCAGCACCATGATACGCTTTATCTACAAAATTTGATTGAACTGCATTGAACCACTATAAATCTATGGTCTTAGAACGATGTTTCACAACAATATTATAAGATTTTTTTGACTATTAAAAGTTTTTAAAAAAATCTTCATTTCTCAAAGTTTTTTTAACCTGTCAGAGAATTATTTTTTTTTTAAAACAAAGATATGTTGTTCTGTTTTTCTGCATGCTCATGCACTGTAATGTCTATTGACTTAACTTTGAATTAATTATTGGCTTCCTAATGTGCTGCTTATGTAGTCTGGAGTAGAAGTACCAGTATTATTGTCATCTGTTATGAAAAGGGGTACATGATTCACTTTGTAGTATAACAATTTCTTTCTGGCAGATTTTATTGCAGGCCTTATTATTGAAATATATATAACTTTTTCTTACTTTAATCTTTTTAAATGTTAAAACCATGTTTGTGGAGGATTAATAAAACAGAATATAACTAAGCATATTTAAAAGAAACAAAACAACTTTCCCCTTCTTCTACCCCCCCAAACCTTTCATACCATGGCAATGAGCTTTGAGTAGGAGAAAGCACTTTTTTCTCTGGCAATTATTATGGGTTATGAATTATTTTATTGTTTTTATGCCTCCCTTCTGAGGAGATAATTTCATCACATGCTAGTGAGAAATTTAGTTTGATAGAGGAAATATGTTTCACTTGTATCAAATATAAAGTAAACTTGTAAAAATAGAGGGTGTTACTGTTGAGAACCATCGATTTCAGTGAGGCTGCTGATGTGATAAAGAATTATTGGTGCATGCAATGCTTTGCAGAACATGGCCTATAATGCTGTAACAACCATTTCTGCTGTGGCTGATTCCCATGTTTCATTTTACCTCACTGCATCTCCTTCCTTCCCCTCCCCTGTAAGTTAAATGAATTTTGTGGCGAGTTTTCCTGAATTTCCATCTGTAACATTTATCTACAGTTTTGCACCTGTGGGATCATTTTTGACCTTAAAATTCCAGATGGTGGTTTGAACTAAGAATGACTAGTTTTTCTGGGGAATGTCAGCAGCTCAGAATCCAAACTTAAAAGACATAGGAAGTGATAGAAGCATTTCTGTGAACCCACCTGAATAGGAAAGAAATTTTTTTCTAAAAGGGCATGATGGAAAGAAAGATTAAAGTCCAATTTTATTCTCTTTGTGCTTATTCTTAAAACATAGATTGCCTTAACATTTCACAGAATCATGGAATCAGCAAGGTTGCAAAAGACCTTTAAGATCATCAAGTCCAACCATTTCAAATTGTACTGCTTTGTTCTTTTAAAATGTTACCAGCCATGACTTCTAGTCCTAATGAAGGCTATTTTTCAAGCATTTACCAGGTGCCTGTAGAAAGAAAGAGGTGTAGAAAGAGGCGACTTATCCTTCTGTTCGTATGAATTGAAATGTCTAGTGATCCAGTCCTCTTAATGAGCTTTAAACCTGATGCATGGTACTAAAGCTTTCTTTGTGACCCTGATTTCCATGGGGTCTAGGTCAACAAACTTATAAAGGGGTTTTAATTATTTGTGAGCTCCTTAGCTTTTCATATAGCTATGTAGTTCTTATCAACAAAATACGTGAATCAAATGTGTGCAGGGCCTGAAAATTTCTTTGATGGAACCTACTTCCTGCACTGATCAGACAATGCCAAAGTCAAATTCTGGAAAATTAGGCATGGTTTGCAGGCAGGTTTTCACCATACAAAAGCACAGGAGTTCATTTCCACTCCAAAGGTGTGGTGATCGTTGCAGGAACAAAAGAGCTTCCTGTCGTCCTTTCTTGCTCTACCCAGACTTACGATTTTTGAGGAACCGGTAAATCCTGGTATGGGAATTATGTGAATGATTTTACTAACTTGAGCCATAAAGCTTTTCTGGGTTACTCCCCAAAGAAATTTATGTTCCTTTAGGTTAGCAATACCTCATAAACCTTCTAAGAATCTCAATGTGAGTCTGAAGGTGAATATAATACTGATGCTTTGTTTTAGGTGAGGTTTATGAATCTCCTTATATATTAAGGAACTTCTGAATAAGCCCCCTGTGATATTTTTTTTTTCTTTTAAGAAGAGTGGTTTGGTTTAGCCACGTATAATTTTGTTTTCTCGGCTGAATTTTATTATGACTTTAGAAGTAGGTTATAGGTTGCTTTTGATTAAAAATGTTTCTTTGAAATAGTGCTTAAAGAAACGGCCCTATGATGCAACATGTGTTTCCCCTTGATTGTGAGTTACCATAAGCTTCATGGTTGCTCAAATAATTAAGTTTGTCACTGCAGTGAAATGAAGGTGCCACACTTAGGTGCTTGTTGGATATGGAGTGTATAGGTTACGTACAAGGAAGAAGTTCTTTACTCTGATGGCGGTGAGGCACTGGAATGGGTTACCCAAAGAAGTGGTGAATGCTCCATCCCTGGTGGTGTTCAAGGCCAGGTTGGACAGAGCCTTGGGTGGCATGGTCTAGTGTAAGGTGTCCCTGCCTGTGGCAGATGGGTTGGAACTAAGGAGGACGTTCTTTCCTGTTAGGGTGGTGAGGCACTGGAATAGGTTGCCCAGGGAGGTTGTGAATGTTCCATCCCTGGCAGTGTTCAAGACTAGGTTGGACAGAGCCTTGGGTGATATGGTTTAGTGTGAGGTGTCCCTGCCCATGGCAGGGGAGTTGGAACTGGATGATCTTAAGGTCCTTTCCAACCCTCACTGTCCTATGATTCTATCTCAAGGTCCTTTCCAACCCTAACTCTTTTATGATTCTATATTCTTTTTTACCTAGTCTGTGTGAAGGTTGTATTGTCTTAAGGACAGATCAGGCCAATGTATCTAACTTTCCATGGTTCTTACTGGATTTATTATCTCATATTAAAAAAATACCGGTCTTCAAGCATCATTTTGGAAACAACCATATCTAAAAATGGTCTTTTAATTATTCTGTTTTGAATGATAAAAAGATTATTGCTGAAATCTGCAGTTTTTCTTGATTTGGCCTTCCCAGTTTTGTACAATTACACGAATTGGAGAAAAAGAAAACGAGAAACTAAGTTTTGTTCCTTTCTCTTTTCTTGCCTTTCATTGTTTGATGATGGAATAATTTTACATCTTTGGATGTGATTAACCTCCCATGAGCAAAACGCTGAAATTTATCACTTTGGCCATCAAAATCAGTGCTTTTAAAATGTAAACACCATATTTCATAATTCCTTTCAAAAATATGAGGATTAATCTTAAACAGTTTGGATTTTGTTCACAGTGCCATTAGAAAAGTGGTTATAATTTTAGTGGCTAGTCATCTTCTAATTCATACACTACCTCTATCAATGGCCTGTTTATATTCACTTGTTTTCTGGGTGATACATTGTTTAATAGAAGCAGCTTGTCTCCCTTCCTAGAATTCTCTCTGAATTATATTTATAGATACCAGTACTCTCTTGTGCAAGACTAATTAAGGCAACCTCATCTATTCTCCTGTCATTCTAATAGTTCATCTCTGTACCTGTTCCACAAGGAGTTCATCTCTCTTGAATGTGGATGATTAATGAAGCCTTTGGGATATTCTAGGTGAGATTTCACCAGTGCCTGGCTAACTAAACTTAATCCTACTTTATTGGGAGCACCTCACTTGGTAGGTAGTAAAATGACATTTGTACTGCATCCGTGAGAAAGTCATTAATGACTGTCTCTGGTGAAGCAGTGCTGCTACTTATTCTTCTCAGTCATTATCAGAGGATGAGGTTGCATTTTATAGAAGTTCAAGTTGCTAATCCCATCGCACAGTATCTTTAGGTCATTGTTAAATTTTGGTCCTTTTTTTTCTTGTAGCCAAGATCATCCGGTTCATTTTGCACGTTTTTCTGCTGCTTCTGTGAGCTGTCTAAATTTATGCAATTATTACACATTGAATTGGTGCTAGTGTCATAAAATCCACCCATTCTGATCCTTAAGAAGTATCGCTAATAATCCCACCACCTCTCAACACTGTTCATTGCTGCTGCTTTTTTTTCATGCTCAAGTCCCCTTCTGTTACAATGGTTTATTTAACAATTTCCCATTGTGACGCTAGAGTAAGGGTATTACTCAGATACGAAGATCACCTACTCTTCCTTTTTCTTTGTTTTTAGGTAAAGGTGATGTAAATGTTTTGTTACATTTATATTGTTTGGTGAAAGCGTTTCCCATTACCTCAACATATTTTTTTATTTATCCTTTAAAAAAAAAAAAAACAACAAACAAGCCCAACTTTGTCCTAAACATTTGCCTGTTACTGAGGTGAGATTAAGGTCTGTAATTGTCCATATCCTGTTTCTTCTCCCTCTGGTCTTTCATGCCAGCACCATGGTTGCTATTCTTTGCTAGTATCTAACCAGCTTTGTTCAAAGTGCTTGTTCCTGAGCGTGCATTTTCACTTGCTGTGTCTGCAGAAGTCGTATCCCCAGCTTCAGTTCATTAAACTGGTGAGGTTAGCTTCTATTTCAGCTGTAATTTCTTTTCCTGTTTACATGTTTTGGTCGATGCCTCTTCTTCCACTTGCTCAGTGTCCTGGAAGCAAAAGCTGGACATGAAGTATATCATTCTGTTTGACAAAGGCGACCAGAATATTGCAGCCTGTAGCAGTGTCCAGCACTTTAACATCTGACACATGTATTTGTCTCAGGTTGTCACAGTGACTTGCCTAAGCATTTTGAGAGAAACTTTGTGGTAGAATTCTCTGGAAAATCCCCCAGGTGTTGATGAAAAATGTCATATTACAAGTGAAAAGTAGAAGCCCCTATTACTGGAATGATGTCCTTTTTTGTGATTTTGTTTCAAAATTAATTTGGTCTTATTTTTACATTATTAGGCTTACAAATTGAAATCTGGAAATAAACAAAAAATCCTATTTCCTTCTTTCTGGTTTGTTTATTCACTGATATGTTTCTGTATTTGGCTTTTTAAGCTGATGAGGGTGCAGTTTTGCATGACTGATTTGGTCAATTGAATACTTCATCTGATCTAATGATAAAAAGAGTGGGATCTTGTTGAGTATGAGAAGAGTTATGTAAATACCTTCGATAGAAATTGGATTTTTGTTTAAAAAAGATAGGTGATGATCCATATCAGTGAGTCACTTAGAAAAAAAAAAAACAACAGATCATATGCATAGTGATGTCTGTAAATTCAGACAGAATTGTATTTTTGTCTGTATGGTGCAATATTGAAGATGCTGAAGAAGTGTGAAAAATATCAAAACTGTAGGTACACATTTCGATACTCAAAACTTAGCTCAACTAAATTTTAAGAAGTAGGAGAAACTCTGATCCCATTTTTGATGTTTATTTCAATAAGTTGCTGGATATTTTTGTTCAAATTATCTATAGCACATGTTTTTTATATCACAAGCAAATGCGCAGAAATGCGAATAGCTGTAAGTCATGTAAAGCTTGCAATTTTATTGTGGATGGTAACGCTACATAAACCAGATGCCCCATCCCTTGCTCAAGGCCAGGCTGGATGGGGCTTGGAGCAACCTGATCTAGTGGAAGGTGTCCTTGCCCATGGTGGGGGATTGGAGCTACATGAGCTTGAAGATGTGTTTCTAGCCCAAACCATTCCGTGAATTTTTGATTCTGTGAAATGTAAACTATTCTGTGATACGTATGATCAACACCACTGTGAAAATTTATTTGGAGAAATAGTGGTTTTTTCTTGAAAAACATGTATGTCAATCTTCATTCTCATTTTTACATTTCAATAGTAATCAGCCCTGGTGTTGGTGATAGAAAGTTGTAGCTGCAGGTTGACTCCTTACCAATCCTCTTAGATAAATTGAATCAAGTAAATCGATCTGTTAGCAAGGTAATTTGTGTGTAAAACACAGTATTATTGGTACAAATTTGATGTTTGTGTTCAGAATTGCAGTTCTTAATAGCTTGATAATACACAACATAGAGATGGGAATAAAATACATATGAATAAGGTAAATATACTGTGTTGAATGTAAATAGTGTATTACACAAATATCAATGTTCATACACAGAAAAAATCTAACTGAAAGTCATGAATCTCTTCACTAAACACAACAATCCAGAGGAAAAAGAGATAATTTTACCCATGTAATATCAGATAAAAATAGAAATTCAATTTAAAGTAACTTTCAGATGAAGCAAGGTGTGTGGTGATGTGTGCTACCTTTGCATAAGTAACTTCATAATGGCAGCCAATTTAGGTTGGAGACTGTGCCATTTTGGAAGTTATTGGCCACACTATGTATTCTTCTGACTTCATCTTCAAGAGGCTGCAAGTGAATGATTTCTTCCATTTCACACCCATAGATCTGGCTGCCAGAATAGGCTGGCGTCTACAGGGAATACCTCCTGGCTCGCTCTTTCTGTGACATATGTCATCAGCTGGGAAGATGGAGAAGTGAAAAATTGGAAATTTCAGGGCCACAGGCAACAAGTGACCGCTTAACCTCTGTATTTTCTTACGGCTATTGTGAAATATTTTCCAATTGTTTTATTCTTCAGTAACAACAGCTATTGTGAATGGTTTTATCTGGTGTCTCTTTGCAGTTATTAATGATGTGATGTAAAATGTGGATTTGAGTGCCAGTTTAATGAGCTGCTATCAAATTATCCTTCTGTGAGTGTTCAGCAACTGAGTAGATATATTTGCAGTTAAATAACTAAGAAGTGGCAGGTGGAAACTGATTTTTAGCTCAATAACTGTACAGTTTGCTAGCAAAGCATCTGTATCTGTGTGTACTTTTTGCTTCTCACACTTCACAGCAGTTCAGTTTCTGCCAAGCTTCTCCAGACAATTTCCTCATGATCGAGTACAGGTGTTCCTAACAAAGCTGAGGTAGCTGGAGCACTGAATTCTCATCAGCCGTGTCTGGTGGGACAAAATTAAGGTTGGGAGAGAATTAATCATAACCCTTAATTTCCTATTTTCCAAAAGGTTTGTATTGTTTTTTGTTTTGGCTTTTTTTTTTTGCCTTTCTGTGTGTGCTGAACTCACACATGGGAGAGTATCTGATACTGCTTGGCACCTGTGACAACAGTGTATTTCTGATTTAATCAAGAATAGCAGATAATAGTCTAATATCCTTATTCAATTGCAATTATTGCTGTACTTAGAATTATAATGAAAAATGATTCTATATACTTAAAACTCCTAGTATTGTGTGTTAGCAATAATAAACCTTAAACCTATGTCTTTTGTCCCTCTGTTCCAGGGTCTAATTCTTGGCTCGTACCAGAAACAAAAGGAGCAATTGTGCAAGGTGGATATGGCCATACAAGTGTCTATGATGAGCTGACAAAATCTATTTATGTCCATGGTGGATACAAGGCATTACCTGGAAATAAATATGGATTGGTAGATGATCTTTACAGATACGAGGTTAATACTCGGACATGGTAAGTGGGATTTATAATGTAGGAAGCTATTATATGTTAGTGAGAAAGAAAACGTAAGCATTGAGTAAGGTAAAGTAAGGTTCTAGTGAAGTTGTGGGCAGAGATCCTTTGTGTTTGTAGAGCAGTACATTCTCTGCAACAAAATGGAAGAAATGTCGCCAGCAGATTATTGATTATTAGAATTTAGCCAGCAAATTAATGGAGCTACACATAGAAGGAATGGAGGGAAGAAACTGCACATCTTGTACAAAATAAGGGAAGCTTCCTATCCAGAAGTAACTGCTATACAGAAAACATGTACTGTTTCCACATGGTGTGAATATACTGCTGATGCACGTTCAAGTACCTGTTACGTAAGTAAGTAGAGAAATCAGAGGACTGCACAAGGTTACTCTTCATGGAACTGATAGAAATAAGAGAGAAAAATCCTGGTATTGTATGCGGATCCTTAGTTATTAATGTTCTTGGGTTTTCTATTTCTGTCAGTTCCTTGTCCCTGAAGATTATTGTAGCTTATGAATGGTACTTGTATGCTATGTATAGGAAATGACCTTAAAAGTTTATTCCTACTATAGAGATGATTTGAGGTCAAGAACTATTTCTACAGAACATTTTATTCCTGCAGTTTAATATTTGTCTTGAGAATTAATGGTTTAACTTGAAGCACACAAGACTTGCTCTGAAGATGTTGGAAATGTGGGTTTGATTTCACCGAGGCTCTTAATTTTTGAATGTCACTAACTCATGGCACTTGGAAACATTATTACAGGTTTTTTTTTTTTTGTCCCTGTTAATGTGTTTTTAAATTGCTGGAATTTTAATACTTTCTTATTATAGTCTATTCTTGGAACAAAGTGATATTGTATCTTTTGATGGTCTGTTCAACAATATAATAATAATTATTGGGATATTTTTATTCATTATATTAAAAACTGCAGCTTGTAGAGAACTCTTTTGTTTCATGAATATTTCGCTGGAAGGCAGTTGTACTGTGGTTGAGAAGATGAAGTAATGACACTTAGGTAGTAAAGCAATTTTTCTTTGCTGTACCTGTCACAATTTATAATCGGGATTCAAAGCACTCTGTGAGGCAACTGGGCCTGAACACACCACTGGCCATGCTGGAGCATGCAGTAGAGGTGGAACCAGAGTGCTTTCTTATGGCCATGTACATGGCTTTTTTCAGTTTCACATTTGGTTTTCCTCATGGTCTCTGTTTTTGTCACATTTCTGGTCTGATCTGGCTGAGGCTCATGTGCTTCACTAAGTCTTTGGTATACAAAGCTGATTACTTATTCAGTGGCATGTGGCTTTTCGTTTCTCGTATCGATTAGGCATAGGCTTAATGTTTCTTGGTATATGAGGGGCTGATATTTTAATTCCTAGTGCAAACATTGTTCCTAATACATAATGGAGAATTAGTGTTTGTAATACCTGCATTGCTTTGCATTACTTGCATTCTGCAGCAGTTGGCAACTGGGGGACAGTGTGGTGCTGAGCTTAGATAATGGCCTTGAAACAGTGGAAGCACCTGCTGGCTCCTGGGTATTTCTATTGCTATTATAATGCCATGCGGCTGTATGCAGCTCCTGGCATCAGTACAGTTGACATGCCCTAATGTCTGCAGATGCATGTATATATGCATAAATAATGAATTCCGTATAAAGTGTGCTGAGACTCACATAATTTGCAAGAGGTTGATATGTGTTCGTATGGGGAGTTCTAGAGATTGCTGTCATTGGTAATGTTGAGATGAACGCTGAATATTGATATCATGCCCAAATTAACAAACTTGGTGTGTATTACGCTTCCACTTCTGCTGAATCTTGGAGAAAAGTTATTGTTACCAGGAGGGATGAAACTCAGCCCTTAGAATCATTGAATCTCAGCACTATGTGCAAAAATTAGAGAATCACAGAATAGTTAGGGTTGGAAAGGACCTTAAGGTCATCAGTTCCAACCCCCCTGCCATGGGCAGGGACACCTCCCACGGCTCTGTCCAGCCTGGCCTTGAACACTGCCAGGGATGGAGCATTCACAACTTCCCTGGGGAACCCATTCCAGTGCCTCACCACCCTCACAGTAAAGAACTTCTTCTTTATATCCAATCTAAACTTCCCCTGTTTAAGTTTTAACCCGTTATCCCTTGTCCTGTCACTACAGTCCCTAATGAAGAGTCCCTCCCCAGCATCCCTATAGCCTCCCTTCAGATACTGGAAGGCTGCTTTGAGGTCTCCATGCAGCCTTCTCTTCTCCAGGCTGAACAGCCCCAACTTTCTCAGCCTGTCTTCATACGGGAGGTGCTCCAGTCCCCTGATCATCCTCATGGCCTCCTCTGGACTTGTTCCAACAGTTCCATGTCCTTTTTATGTTGAGGACACCAGAACTGCACACAATACTCCAAGTGAGGTCTCATGAGAGCAGAGTAGAGGGGCAGGATCACCTCCTTTGACCTGCTGGTCACGCTCTTTTGATGCAGCCCAGGATACGGTTGGCTTTCTGGGCTGTGAGCGCACACTGAAGCCGGCTCATATTTATTTTCTCATCAACCAGAATAAACCCCTAGTACAATGTGGAAACTAGGGCTGGGGCAGTGCAATTGGGTGACAAGTAGAAAAGTGAGTAGCCCAAAGAAAACCTGTGGGGACTGCTGTTCCCTGGAACAGTGTATAGCTCTTTAAGTCTTTAGTGATCTAGACAGCTTCAAGGTGGGATGATCAGGACAGAGCCTAGGGTATAGCAATTAATGTAGGCTAGGAGGCAGGAGCTGTAGAAAACTGGTGAAGCAAAAGACAGAAATCTATAGGTCAGATAGACAATGACAGTGTCTTAGTATATCACCATTCTTTCAACACACACAGCAGTATGGCTCCATTGCTAGTTGAAAATATCTGTTTTAAAATAATGTCCTATTTCCTTGTCATTTCTAATTTTGTACTTTGCTAACTGATGAATTGAAACCAAATGCCACTTTTTTCTGGCTAGGCACCATAAGTATTCTATATGAAGTTAATTCTTGGTTAGAAAAACACACTTGGGTGGTGATCTGTTTTCAAAGTCTATTAATTAGAGTTACACAACAAAAATGCAAATCACTTACCAGCAACAAAAAAGAGTTAAGCCAGAAGCACATTGGTGGGTATGTTGGTGGCTTGAAGGAATTAGCACATTTTTAAGCAATTAAAAAAACCTCATTTACTTTCATTTAGTCTTTGGTATTTCCTTTGAAGTAACCCTCTAGGGGTAGGGAGGAATCTATTTAAATGGCAGAATTTAGGTTTTATGCTTTCCTCTCAGCTTGTTTAAACACATTATCTCCTGTCAGTTAAAAAAATACCTTGAGTTTTCTGATTGATTTACAGCATTATGTCAAAGCAATGAAATATGCTTCAAACCTTCTCCCCCAAATCTTATGATGATGAAAACGTATTGAACAAGTGTTGAATTGGTATGATTCAAGAAGGACAGTATTATTTAATCAGGAGAGATTGTCAAGTCAGTATGTTCATTACAGGAAACAAATGGCAAAACTGTTTAATTATAAATGTGAGCGGTGTGCAGTAACCCAAGTGAGATTGTAAACTTGGAAACTGTTAGATTTCTGGACATGTAAAAGGTTATTAGGGGAATGTAAATAATATTCTGTACTGGTCATCTGATCAGCTCTTCCCAAACATGTCTACAGCTGGTCTGTTTAAGTAATTCAAGCTGGCAAAACCTACAAGTGGCTACTTTGTCCCTTGGTGAGATTTATTTGCTGTGATTGAATCAAGCCTGTATTCTGTTCTTTCTGCTAGCCCCACACCTGCTGCTATAAAACTGCAGCACTGATAGCTCTTGGCTACTGCTGGGCCCATATTATTGCCCTAGTGCGAAGTAGACTGCACATCACAGCCTAAAATTAGTGAAGAGAGGTCAAAGACTCAACGTGCATGGGCTGTTTTTTGAATGTATTTATTTTTTGGTACTGAAATTCTGTGTTTGAGTTTGCCAGCCTGAATATATTTCTGAAGCAGTGCAAGTGTTTTTATCTCACCTAGGATGACTTCTGCCAATCTCTTTTTGAGTTCTGAGTGTTCAGTTAATTAACAAACAGAAGAGTTTCTCCTTTTCCAGTACTTAGGATAGTCTAAAGGTTCGTTTAGCCTTTTAAAGAATTCTTTATTGCATTCTTGAGCAAAGCCGCAATATGGCTAAGGATATACAAGAATAGAGTAGAATAATGTTTTCATTTGGTTTTGAATCCAATTTGCCATATCATTAATTGCTTCTGAAGAATGTAAACATGATACAATCTATTTCAGATGCATTATTTGACAAGCTTTTTTAATTAAGAAAGCATGACATTTTAAATGAGTGTTAAATGTGTTTGTTGTAACAAAAGGAACTTCATAATCTGGAAGCAATTTGAATGTATTTAATCATATTTACTGAATAATAGCTTTAGTGTTTTCCTTGTATTTTATATTGTTTTTGTCTGTAACTTTTTTGGTGTGTCTGCAGGTTTTCACATGTTAGTATGAATTAATTTGTTGTTGTATTTCGTAGGACTATTTTAAAGGAGAGTGGTTTTGCAAGGTACCTTCATTCAGCTGTCTTAATCAATGGAGCTATGCTAATTTTTGGTGGAAACACTCATAATGATACTTCCCTGAGTAATGGTGCAAAGTGTTTTTCTGCTGACTTCCTCGCATATGATATAGGTATGTATTCTTTTCTTCTCCTGTGAGTTTTAAGTACCACAGTATTGCTTTCTCAACTCAAGCTAATGTGAGTCTTTATAAAGTCTTGATCCCAAACACCTTCAAGTTATTATAAATTATATTGTAAAATTAAAAGCAGTGTTTTGTTCCATAGGTTTGTTGTTTGTGAGGCAAAGCATAGTAGCTAAAATGATGAAGTTTAATGAATGTGCCCAATACTGTGTTATGAGTAGTGGATATGTTATTGCTAAATGAATTGCAAGAGTTGGTGCATTTTTGGTGTTATGAAAGTGTGTTGAACCCAAACACTAGTAGTTGTTTGTTTTTCATAATGAATAGCTACATAGTACTAATGAAATATGATGCTTAAATTAAAAAGAACAAAACTCAAAACCGAACAAAACAAAAACCAAAACCAAACAAAAAAAAACCCAACCAAAAACTAACACCACGAACTCCAACTGAAACCCACTTCCCCTCAAATAGCACTTGAGAGGTTTCTAAAAAGATTTGCAATTGGTGGCAGTTTGAAAAACGCATTGCTCAGTGCTTATGTAGGGGCACCAGAGTGGGTCTGAATTGAAAATCAAGGAGTGCAGAAGCCAAGGCAGGCAGCAGTGTGAAAAGTAAGGTGAGGTAGTCAGGTGGTCATGCTCAAGAAACTGGTAAAGGTGGAGCTGCCACAAACTGAAGAGTAGTTTTGAAACATCGGAAGTCTGCACCACAAGAAGCAGAGTGTAGAGCAACACTGCCTGGGAGATGGACTGAGGTAGTTAGCAGTTGTAGCTTAACAGACACAGGTTGGGCGTGATGGATGAGATGCATGGGTTTTGCTGGGTATCTGACAAGTTGCCCCCCCATTTCCTGCTTTTCCTGTCCTTTTCGGATCAGAGTATTAATTAAAAGATTCCTGCCTTTGAGAAGGAAATACGTTACTTGATCAGAATAACTGCCTTGGTATATGTCTGTTTCACGTATGTTTGTAGCAATATCTTACCCAGAGTCTAGCATGAGTGGTCTTGCTGAGCTGGAGGAAAATTCTGAGGCATACTCCCTTGTATAGAATAATGGGATAATTATATTAAATGCATCAGGGCAATAGTAGACTATAGAATACATTTGTATCCTTATGGTAAGGATAAAAATGTGTTTCCATGGGATGATAGTACAGTGAAAATGGCTGATATTTGTCCTTAGCTTCATGGACAGAAATAGTCTTAGTAGGATGGTACTAAAAAAAAAAAAGGTTTACTTTTGCACCAAAGCCTGCTAATATACAGTATAAATGTCAAAATACAGAATTCATTCCATGTTACCCAGTTCAAAAGTAGAAGTGAAGAGTAGCAGAAGAACCCCACTGAAATTTGATGGCAAGCAATTGGGAGGAGGCTGGAATGTCATTCAAGAAGAATGAGATGATTGGAAGTGACAGTTGACATGAGATAATGGTTAATGGAAGAAGGTGCAAGTCATACACTTAGGGAATGATAAAAAAATCATTCCTACAGATTGAATGACAGCGGCTTGTGTGTCTGAGTCAGGAGTGGCGTGTGGCTGTAGAAGTGGCCTGTATAGTCCTAATGAAAAGGAGGAAGCATTGATACCATTCTCAAGGCCCTGGATATTGTTGTAGGATTTTTGCAACACACATTTAAGAAAGGCTAACTCAAACAGGGCTCTTTCATGGCAACTGGTATTAAGGCTGACTGAAGCATGAGGAGCCTTTAGTAGGTAATAAGAGGATGTGGTATATTTAATTTTGCAAGAGAGTAGCTGAGAGCGGGAAAGATTGTTGTTTATAAGTATATGATAAGAATACACTTTAGAGGAAAACTGGTTAAGGTAAAAGACACTCTGAAGGTGAGCTGACTTGGTTGTAAGCTTTCAGTCTGTAGAATGGCTCCAACCATTAGAGCTGTGCAGTTATGGAAAAGCCTCCCTTTAGGATTGTGGATGCTGTAAATCTAAGGGAATTTAATGACTCCATATCTGTTTCCTGTCTTGTTTATTGCCACTGCTGTTCTTAACCATAAATAGTTTTTCCTTCCTCTAATGTTCATGTCCATATTTTATGCATAGGCTGCAAGTATAAACACATGGGTCATATTCGTGCCAAAAAGCACAGCCACTTGTCCTGGCAGCTAAAAATTGGGGAATGTGTCAGAGCAGTCTGTGAAATGGACTCATACATGATCCTGTTGAGAATAGCCTGTGGATAGTGCCTGGATCTATTCTTGACAAGCATTTACCAGCTGACTACAGTGGTAGAAGAGGGTGAGACAAGATCCTTTTCATAGGACTAGTTGATGGCTCTTTATGGCTTTCTGTTTAGATATCAACGCGATGCATTTGCTTTCATACAAAAATGATCAGTAAAGTAAGAACATGGAACATGTATGTGTTATTTCCTGTCAGTTCCACTGAGTGTGTGAATAATACCTTTCGGAACAGTTACATTTTTTGACTGTATCCCTGCATTACATATTCTGTAGCTGCTTGCAGGCGTCTGATGGTGTGAGCTATTGATTTTATTCTCACTTCAGTTTACATCTGGTTTTAATTTTTAATGAAATAGAGCTCCCTCCTTGTTTTAGAGGATAATATTACTTATTGGTCTACATTTATTTGTAGAATGTACACTTGAGAATCAATAGTATGAATCCCAGGACCTGAATAAGTGTAACTTTGACTTTCATGCACCAGGAATTTTTGCTCTTACTTCATGAAAATGTTGTAAGAAAATGTTGTATGCTTTTTTCAAGTGGAAAAATACATTGTTTTTTCTAGTCAATTACAATACGTAATATGGTATTCATGTTTTCTTGCAAGTCATATTTTCCATGTGTTATCAACCTGATAAAATACAAAGTAAACTGTTGTAGTAATTACTCTTAAAAATAATTCTATGAAGATGGATTTGATTCAGACTTAATATTCTGTATTATTGTCGTGGTTTAAACCCAGTCAGGTAGCTTGTTCACTCACTCCCAGTGAGTGGTGCCGAGCTGACAACAATCGAGGTCCGTGTCCGTCTCCCCCCCCCCGCCTCCCCGCACCGGGGCTCTCCCCTTCCCCGCTCCCGGAGGAACGGGGAGGAGGATCGAGAGAGTGCAACTCCTACAGGTTGAGACAAAAACAGTCCAGCAACAAATCACCACCGCTACTATCAGCTACAACAATGATAAGGGAAAATAACAAGGGAAGAGAATACGATACCACCGGCCAAGAAAAACGAGCTCCACCCGGAAGCCCCTGCCCTTCCGGGTAACTCCCAGTTACCCCTCACCCCGGGCATGACGTGCTGTGGTATGGAATACCTCCCCGGCTAGCCCGGGTCAGGCGCCCCGTCTCTGCTTCCTCACAGCCTCCCCTCCTCCCTGGCAGAGCATGAGCCTCACAGAGTCCTTGGTCAGGGTAAACATCACTTAGCAACAACCGAGAACATTGGCTTCACCAACACTGTTCTCAAACTGGAAGTCAAAACACAGCACTGTACCAGTTAACACAAAGGAAAAAAACATGACTGCTACTGCGGAACCCAGGACAATTATTCATTTCACCAAATGGAAAACACAGTCTCACAGCACACATTCTATAAATTCATACTTTTTCAGAAGTCAGTAAATACTCATTTTACGAAAAATTAAATCATTATGTAATGGGTATATTTCAGAATTATTTTTTACTTTGTAAACAATGCTTGGAAGAAAAAATTTATGATGTTATCAGTATCACATTTCCTAGATATCTTGCAAAGGATGGAGTACAATACTCTGTCGTGTAAAAAATGGATGCTGTCTAGAAACCAGCTGAATCCTCGAGATAGAGCCTACACTATTTATGTTCAAGCTGCGCTGTAGAGTACTTTTGATTATCTCTCTTAGTATGTGTGACATAGTCATATGGATAGATGGCTTCAGCTTTTATTATCCATGAAAATGCTTTCTGTTTTTCATATTAATGTGAAATGACTATTTGGGGGGTGTCATGGTTTAAGCCCCGCCAGCAGCTAAGCCCTGAACAGCCACTTGCGCAATCTCCCCCACAGTGGGATGGGAAAGAAACAAAATTCATGAGTTGAGATAAAGAGTTTAATAGGAAAAGCAAAAGCTGCACATGCAAGCAGAGCAAAACAAAGAATTCATTCACCACTTCCATGGCCAGGCAGGTGTTCAGTCATCTCCAGGACAGCAGAGCTCCATCACCTTCAAGGGTTACTTGGGAGGACAAACACCATCTCTCCCAATGTCCTTCTTTTCCTCTTCCCTCATGTTTACATGCTGACCATGACCCCATATGATGTGGGGAACTGACCTTTAGGTCAGTTGGGATCAGCTGCCCAGGCTGCCCCTCTCCCTGCTTCTTGTGTACCCTTAGCCTGCTCACCGGTGAGGTGAGGAGCAGAAAAGGCCTTAACTGTGTCTAAGTGGGGCGGGCTCAGTAATAATGAAAACATCCCTATGTTATCAACACTATTTTCAGTACAGATCCAAAACATTGCCCTGTACCATCTACTATGGAGAAAATCTCAGCCAAAACCAGCACAGGGGGATTAATCTCAGTTAAGTTTATCTAAAAGGTTGTTTTCAGCTACTATCTGGTAATACTGACTAGTCATCTAGTCAGTGGAGGGAGACAAGTATTTAATTAATACTTGCAATAATATTGTAATATATTAATTCAAGCAATTAATTTTACCAAGCTTAGGAAAAATTGCCTTTTTTTTCCCTTTTGTGGGCTAAGTCATTGTTCTCAAGGTAGTGAACTTAGTCTACACTCATAAGTTTTAGACAGTTAAATGTGTCATGAGCCAGGAGCTCAATTCACTCATTTTAAATACTTCACGTGAATATACTTGTTAAAGCTGAAGACTTCAATATCTGGAGAATGTTATAAGATGTATTATGATGCCCTAATTTCATAAGTAAATATTGTTTGGTATGTTTACTTAACTAGCAGTAAACATACCTATGACTGGAAGTCTCCTTCATAAAATGAGC